TAAAGGTACCCGCTACCGTCCTTCTTTCTTTCGACCTTTGGTTCGGTCTTTCCTCCTCCGTCTTGCTTCTTTTTCTCCGTGCTTCTGAAGCTCTCCTTCTCCGCCTCTCTGTGGCGCCACAAGTAGTCAATGCGGATTAACTCCTTTTTCCACTCTTCGTAGTTGGCTGGCTCCCGGCCGCCGTATATTACCTGATTGACCAGGGGTTCATTCATGTTTCTACGTAAGAGTGAAATGAGGAAGTCCTCATTGGCTGTTTGGAGGTAGTTAGCCTCTCTTCTCAGTTCTTCGAAATGTTCGAAGTGCTTCTCTGCCGTATTCTTTCCTTGCCGCAAGATCATGATGTCATTGCGGGCGGCGAGTTGCTCGTGAACATTCTTGAACCGAGTCTCCATCTTGTGGGCGAACCACTCAAAACTTTCGTATGTGGATTTGAGGTTTTCTCCTCGCATCCTCTTCTCTATCTTTGTCTCCATCCACTCCGTTCTGAAGGCAGCCGCTGCTCCTCCTGTCATAAAAGAAAGCACATAGGCGATCTTTCTTTTGTCATCCGCAAAATACTCCTCATCATCCTCGTAGTTTAGCATTAAGGCCTCGCGGAAAGCCTTGTACTTCTTTCTATCTCCATCGAAGTTTTCAGGCTTCTGGAGTGCCATTCTGGTTCTATCTACGTGTCTCGGCTGCGTGTTGGGTGGCGTGGGTGCGGATGCGGCGGGAGCGGACGTAGAAGAATTCGACGTAGCTAACCTCAGCTTGGCTAGCAATTCTTCTACTTCTTCTTTCGCCTCTTTCAATTGCGTTTCGTAAAGGTCGTGGAGCCGTCTCTGCTCCTGTTCTATTCTGGTCTGAACGTACTGTTCCAGTCCAGCTTCCCTCGATGTTGGTGCTCGTGGTTCTACGGGTGGGAGTGCACCTGACAATTCTCCCATTCCTATCTCTGGTGTGTCCGGCTCTTCGCGCGGACCTCGCCACTCTCCGAATGCTTCCGTCGTCATGATCTGGGTAGGGGGTGTGGTATCGGGTTCTAATCGGTTCTATTTCTGGGAATGTAAAGTAGATTTCCCAAGCTAATCTGTTCTCAGAGTGAAAGCGTTCTTCTGCTAGCCACTCTTCGAATTTCCCAGGTTGCATACAAAAGAATTTCCCGATGATAAGTCGGATCAACACTTTCTAATGTAAGATCAACCGGGTCTATCTGTTTCCTTCTTTAGTCAAGCGGTTCCTCTTCTGTCCCGCACTGACTATGTACGTAACTAATTCTAACTATGTATCGGTGTTCTAAAGTATAGTAACTGAGGTCCAGACGGTTGTCTCAGTGATACCCAGCGAATAACCGCGTGCAGGTCTTTTCCAACTGGCGGACTCAAGTGAGCGGCCTGGTCAGAAGGGTAAAGAAGTTTTTCTAAACTAAGTAATACCTATCGGGCTCCACGCCGTCAAGGGTTCTAGCTAAAGGGTTGGAAGGGGGAGTGAGGGGGATGTCGACAAACGACTCTGTGGGTGAGACGTTGGCAGGGAAAAATGAAACAATGGTAGATGGTCGGGGGATAGGTGTGATGATGGTTGGTTTGGTGATATAGACGTAGAGTTTGGCAATGCCAAAGAGTATGATTGCGATGAGAGGGAATAGGGTGATGATTAGGATAGCTGTGCTTTTGCTCATCAACAGGTGTCGTTCCAAGTTGTAGATTATGTAAAGACCCTAGCTGTTATGCCGGTAACCCGAGCAGCGTAGGACTTAAATCGCACAACAAGTGTTCGACAAGCAAGTATAAGAGTAAATCTACAACTGGGGTATGTACATGGATATCGTGCTAGTTATATAGAAGAAGGCATGAGGCTACGGTGAGGTATGACGTAGCGTATTGGTAAGTAACATGTGTAATGCGTGAGGCTGATCGGTAATGAGTATTACTAATGTGTCACGTGATTACTAGATAAGATAAGATCAAAGAGAGATTAGATTAGGTGAGATAATAGTCTCTATCTCACGATTAGATAAAAAAGATGAGTCACATGGGTACGATCGTGACATTGCCACCCACTATGCAAAAACCCACACACGGAAGTGGCAACAATGGGACATCATGAGACCTTCACACCAAGGCAATCCATTTGCAGGCCCTGACCCATCAGAAACCCTAAGAACAATAGAAGATAGGAACCGGTGTCATGCACCAAAGTTGATTGGTAGCATGGACAGGTGTCAATAACGAAGCAAATATTCAAAAAGACTCGCCTTTGCGCCACACAGGCACAGTGCCACGTGGAATAGTAATTAATATTGCCTTTTTCGAACTTGTGGCTGATCAGCATCACCTCTATTAGGCAATCCAGTCACGCTCACCTTTGCTTTTCCATTCGGTACTTTCAGCATTTCGGCATTTCGGCAAATTTTCGCATCGCCACTAGCTACACATTGCATTGCGCCCTCGCTTTTGTCGTTTCCCTTACTCCCCTTCCTTTGCCTAGCCCCACCATGGGCCCCTTCCTCTCCTTTTTATTCTCACCTGACGGTCGTTTCTGGATCCCCATTCTAATCCACTTTTTCGTCACCTCCACCCTTCTCCTCCTCATCTTATTTGCACCCCCACCATTTCTGATGTCACCACTTCCTATCCGCTTCCATCGCCGATCCGTTGACTATCACGTGCCACTGCTGATATCAGCAAAGCCCCGGCGGCCGGTCCAAATAAATAGGGCAACAGGTCCATCTTCATGACGTCGATCTGCCATCATATACTATCAAAACATTGGTTGCTTGTCTTGCCTGGTTGGAGCGTGGGTGGGTAGTTTTTGAGCTGGAGAAGGTTCATCCCCTTGCGTCGCCCATGTTTATCGCTGTCCCATTCACTTGGGTACACTTATCATTTGTCCATCGTCTTCGCTACAGCTACACCTACCACACGCTGCCTGGGACTCACTTGTTCCAAATTGGAACTACTCCTCTCCCTCCCTCGTTTGATCAGGTGGTCCAACGCAACCAGTCCATTGGTAAGGCCATGGAACTGTTGGATTTGGACTAGGTGGTGGACCGGTGGCTCCACTTTCTTTTTCTTCAGCAGAACATTCATTTACAGTGTGATTATTTTTGATTTTTGAATCATTTTTATGGACACATATTTTTTTAGAATGCCTGACTGACAATAAAGGAACTGTGTTGATACTGATAGTGTTTTGCCTTGCCCTTTTTTTACTGCATCTTCCCATGACATCATGATTTTCCTGCTTTCTTTTTGCTATTGGACTTTACTTTATGGCTGTACAAACCTGTGATATTACTCACAGCATTCATTGTTCTATCCCTTTCTTTTCCTTTTTTTGACAATCTTATCCTGTACTACCTACGCAGGATTTGTCAGCATATATTCCTTCCTTCATATTCTTTCTCATTCTTTTTGCACAGCTATACTGTGCATAGCCTACTTTTCTTTCACTATATAAACCCCTGTATTTTACCTTGAAAAAACAACAAGAACTCCATTCCAGACTTCCTCTCTAATCTCAAGCTCACTACTCACTACTACTTGTGATCCAGTGTGGTCACAACACTTCCCACTGCTACCACTGTTAACTGCTGTCATCGTCACTCGTCACTTTTGAAGTCTTTATCATCCCTTTCGATTAGAGTCCTTCTGAGCACTACAGTTTGTGCATCAGGAGCCTGCTATCACTGGGAACCTCGTCATATTGCCGTTCTCAAACCTACCTTGTGCTACGATTAGCAAGCCAGAGTATACAAACTCTTGGTTATAAAACCCCTATCTTCTATATTCCAACTATCCCTCCTCCTCAAAACCCACACCCATACATCTCTGGGTTTTACTTTGAAGGATCACTATACATACCACCCCACGAACAACCAGAGCACCCACTGTTCTAGGAGGCAAAGCCCATAAACAAGTTCTGTGGAATCTGGGAGGATTGTGTGTTAGTTTGTTTTGTGTGTGGTTTTCTAACTACAGTTCTCATCATCACACTGTGCTAAAGTCCATTTGCAGGTCCTGAACCTTCTGTTGCTGCAAAATTATGTGGTGACAACTAGTCAAAGGTTGCACAGAAACCAGCATTTACAGGAAAGGGTAATGTGACACTGGAACAGCATATTGAGATCCTTAATTGGCACTATGCCAATGGGAACAATCAAAGTCAAACTGCAAAACACTTTAACACAATTTATCCAAACCTTAAACTTAAACAGCTGAGAGTATCTGCCTGGTGCAAGAATGAAGACAAATGGTGAGAAGAATATGAGCAGAGCACAGGTTCCACTTGATCAGCAAAACAAACCCGCCAAACTCAGCACCCTGACATCACAGAAATGTTGGATCTCTGAATTTTGAAGGCAATGGCTGATGGGATTCTTCTCACTGGAGAAGTTCCTTGCCAAAAATGGAGAAAGTTTGCAGATATCTGGCGTGCCAGATGATGAGTGATTGAACTTTAGTGAAGGGTGGTTGATTCAGTACAAGGCAAGGGCTGGTTTGAAGCAAATGAAGCACCATGGCAAGGCTACTTCAGCAACCTCTGAGGCCGTTGATAAGGAACAATAGTATATGCAAGAGGTCATCAAAAAGTGTGGTTATCAGCCACAAAATATCTTCAACACAGGTAAATCATCATTATTCTATGTGTAAGTTTGTTTTTAAACAAGTTACAGTGGCAATTCTTTGACGACTTGGACTAGCATGCCTCTGGACCATGGACTTTCCAACAAGCAGTAGTCAGGTGTTAAAGGACAGAAAAAATGGCTGACCTATTTGTTGGTAGCAAATGCGGATGGCTTAACAAAATTGCCTCTGCTGATCATTGGAAAAACATACAAGCCTTGTCTGTTCAGGAATAAGACTGGCAAACAGCTTGGGTTCAACTATTGAAACAACGCTAAGGTGTGGATGACAGCCACACTTTATCAGGAATGGTTGTTGGATCAGGATCAGAAATTGCGAGATGAGAGGAGGAATATTCTTCTTTTACAGGACAATTTTTTGGGGCACATCATGCCCAATTCCCTCACAAACATTGAAGTTGAAAACTTTAAGCTAAATCTCACTATGCATGTACAGCCCAATGACCAAGGCATCATTCATTGTTTCAAGGCCCATTACCATGCCCAGTTCATCAGTTGCGCAATCAATCACTACAATGCTGATGTCATGCCCTCCAAAGTTTATAACATTGACCAACTTGAAGCTATGCGGCTTGCTCAAGATGCATGGAATAGGGTGGACACAACTACCATCCAAAATTGCTGGACAAAGGCTGGTATTCTACCTGACTTGCCACCATCTCAAATGCAACCCACTGTTCCAATCTTGTCCCTCATCCACGCAGCAGCCACTGTAATCTAAGTGAAACTACAATAGATGTTAGTTTAAAGGTGATCTCTAATAAATGTAATGTAACATACCTCAGCTACTACCTAAGAGGCTATAGAAACAACTAAGGTATTCCTATACTAAACCCCCTACTACTTATAGTCGGAGGTGCTACTCGCTACAGTATAATAACTCCTAGGAGAACAATGGTGACTCCATGAAGCAGCCATTATGCTCCATGGAGAACAATGGCTGCTTTAGCAGAGACCGGGTTTATCTGGTTTTGTCACAGAACTCCTTAATCTGGCATTCAAGTCACACAATATTCTTGGTGCAATGGACAAAGAAATTTGCAAGTTTGTGATGCAAAATGGCAATGACGATAGCATATCTGTGCCCAGACCAATGTGGAATGAGGCACTGCAAGCAGTGCTGGTCCTGCGCAAGTACATTGGGACCATTGACAATGCATTCACCTGCAAACTGGAGGTGATGCTAGGTTTGTTTGGACAGAGAACTCATGCTGTTGAGATGCAGGGCTTCAAAGATACCAAAGTGACTGATTATATTCATTTCAAATAGCTTTACAGTTACTTTCACAATGCTAATATAGCTCAGTACGAATTAAGGTACTTTTTGTGCAGTTACACAGGACCCGCGAGACACACATACTCCCTGATAACCCGTGAGGGAGTCAACTGTAGTTCTAACAGGAACTTAAGCAGTATCTCATCTCGTCTCAGTGATCCCGGTCACGGCAAGAAATTGCTGTATAAGGTAGTTTTCTGGCCGGTGCTCCGCCTCCATTCTTCCCATGCGTGACTATTCTAGAGTTACCCCTCCACTACCCCTCCGCAATCATTTCAACCTAGATGGATCCTGCACCTAAACGTCGTCGCATACAACGTTCTGCATCTCCGACTTACAAACTTGACGACGAAGATGATTCTTATGAACCATATGTTCCAGTAGCTCAGAGACGTCTGGCAAGACTGGAAAAACTAGCAGCGTTTGGGGCTAATTCGGAGAAGGAAAATGCCAGGAAACAGCTGGAGGAAATATCAGAGCGTGAGGATGCTGAAAAGGAGGAGGAGCGCGAGAGGGAACGGGCAAGAAAGGAGAGAACACTGTTAATGGAAGCTCAAGATGTGCATTCTAGGAAGGCTGCAGAAGGTATGTTTACGCTTGTCGATTTCTCTGAGCACACGCATTCTGAACGACCTCCATAGATGCGAAAAAGACAGACGTAGAAAAAGTGGAGGAGGCGGATGCTGAAATTCTCGCTGCAATTGCTAGTCGTAGAAAGTTGGCATCTGACCTGGAACTCGCTAAAGGCATTCAATATGCAGAATCTCTCAAGACTTCGTACGCATGACTTTTCTCACTTGCCAAGATGTTCTGACATGAAATGCAGCTGGAGGCCGCCAAAATATATACTGGACCGATCAGACGAACAGCATCGCAAATTACGCGAGAAGTATCACATTATTGTGGACGGTGAAGACATCCCCCCACCTATCGAACATTTTGTCGTATGTTTCTTGGTTTTCACATCTATAACATGTTTCTCACCTTTTTAGGATATGAAAATACCAGACCCAATGCTTCGTTTTCTCAAATCAAATAAAATTGTGACACCTACACCTATTCAATTACAAGGCATCCCTACCGCGTATGTTCCTTACTTGATTTCATCTCATTCTTACCTGCTTAACTAGACCTTTTTCTAGTTTCTCGGGTCGTGATATGATTGGAATAGCCTTCACTGGCTCAGGAAAAACCCTAGCGTTCTGTCTTCCCCTTATCATGTTAGCTCTCGAAGAGGAAACCAAGCTTAGCTTTGTCCGTGGAGAGGGTCCTGTGGGCGTTATTTTATGCCCTTCTCGCGAACTGGCGACGCAAACGTATGAGAACATGCTGACTTGGACTGCGGCCATCGCCAAAGAGGGGAAGTATCCTCGTCTCAATACTCTACTATGTATAGGAGGGATATCGATGGGCGAACAGAGCCATGTATTGAACAAAGGTCTTCATGTCGTTGTAGCAACTCCAGGACGACTCATCGATATGCTGGAGAAAAAGCGGTTTACCTTTAATAACTGTAAATATCTGTGCATGGACGAAGCCGATCGGATGATTGATCTTGGGTTTGAAGACGACGTGCGTAATATCATGAGTTTCTTTAAAGTGAGTGAATAGTGTAAATTACTGCCGGTAGTAGCTGATCAGTTTCATATGCAGCGTCAGCGCCAGACTCTCCTATTCTCAGCTACGATGCCCCGGAAAATTCAAGATTTTGCGCAGCAATCTCTAATCAAACCAATCCTAGTCAACGTTGGACGAGCAGGCGCTGCCAATCTTGATGTACTACAGGTTGTAGAGTACGTGAAACAAGAAGCCAAAATGGTTTACCTATTAGAATGCTTGCAAAAAACCGCCCCTCCTGTAATTATCTTCAGCGAGAACAAGAATGAGGTAGATGGTAAGTCCTTGTAAATCTTTTTGCGTTCTGGACTCACCTGAATCACATTAAAGATATCCAAGAATACCTGCTATTAAAGGGCATAGAGGCAGTGGCTATCCATGGTTCAAAAAGTGCGATATTGGTTAACCCTCCCTTAGACGCTAACTTAACTATTGGTGTAGCTCAGGAAGAACGTCAATATGCCATCAAGTCTTTCAAGTCTGGCGCTAAAGATGTAATGGTAGCGTCCGGCGTTGCGTCAAAGGGCCTTGATTTCAACGACATCCAGCACGTTATCATCTTTTCCATGCCAAAAGAAATCGAGGATTATGTTCATCAGATTGGTCGTACGGGCCGCAGCGGTAAAACTGGGATAGCCACTACTTTTGTGAATATGAATACTCCCGAACAAACTCTTCTGGATTTGAAGTATCTCTTGATGGAGGCTGGTCAGAAGTAAGCCTATAACCAGATCCAATCAATCATATCACTTACGAGGCAATCAGAGTTCCTATGTTCCTACAGAGTATCGACGATCCCCGTGCTGCTCAGGGAGGGTCCTTGAAAGGCTGCCCTGTTTGTGGAGGTGAGAAAACAGCCCAAATCTTAATTTCTTATCTCATAATTCTTCGTAGGTCTCGGTCACGGTATTTCTAACTGTCCAAAGTTAGAAGATGCACAACGTCGACAGATGGCGTCACATAGAGCTGCTGATGACGGAGGAGGTTACTGAGCCATACTATGCGTGTGTCTTGGGGAATAGGCGTTTATGTTCACGTCTGCAGCAGCTTTAATATAAGGAGACACGATTTCGGTGGTGCTTTGCTGTATTATATATATTTTCTAGGGAAATATCTACAGAGCCTGTGTTCATGACTTCACGAGTTTATAACCTTCGATTCGTGTAGCAGTAGAAACTTGGTATTTATGTACATGTTCACGAACTTATATGAGGCTAGGATAATAAAGATGTATAAAGTGGGTCTCATTTATGGTATGCATAATGGGTATCGTAAGGGTATGCGCAAAACAAGAAGGTTTATCTAGATGGTCTTACAGGATTCATCCTAGAATTGATACAAACATTCAGGAAGTCCTGGCCAAACAAAGTCCACTTCTTATGTGCAACTCCAGCTTCGTTGTCGTAATATAAATGTAACGCATTCTGAAAGGCTTGCTTATCTATTAAAGTTGGTCAGTCATATATTGACCAATTCACCAGGTACAGACTGACCTATTGGACACATTGCACTGAGGTATAGTAGCCCTTCGTCATCAAAAACGTCATCCGGTGACAACATAGCATGTTGACGAGATATCTACGTGGAAACCGCGTGCATTCATCATGATCGGTGAGGCAAATTTTGAGGGTGTGCCACACTAACCTTTTGACGTAGAGTTTTCATTTCAAGTACTCGTCGGTCTACGTTCGCAGGATCTTCGCTCACTTCTTCCGTCACCGAAGGAGAGCCCGAGGCCGAGGGAAAAAAGCGAGATCGAACAGTAGTGATAGGTTCAGCAGGAATCTCTTCAATGATCTCTGGATCTGAAAAATTATCGATGTCCTCGTCCTGGTACAAACTTATCTTGTATTCGGGCGGTGGTGGAGGTGGCTTTGGCTTTGCTTTCGCCTTCGAGGAATTAGTACGTCCGACGGCTTTCGGTGGAGCCTTTCTACTCGAGATTGCCGATGAAGAGGCATCGTCCTGGACTTTGAATGATAATGTAATATTGAGCTTGCCATTTCGACATTCATCTGCCTTTGGCCCCAGCTGAAAATATGAGTTAGTATCTCATAAAACCATGTCACGTTTCAGCCCTACCCTCAAGTAGCTTTGTGGCCAGCCTCCAACTTCAATAGTAACGTTGCGGAAAACGTTCAAGGCGAGCATTTTGTTGAGCAGCCGCTCTACCATTCCCAGTTCTAACTGGCTTCCCGCTCCATATAACGGAAGGTTTTCGTGTCCATGCTCTCTGACCTTTTGATTGTTACGCCCGCGGAAGACGTCCTTCAGCTGATTGGCGGTGATATTGTCAACAGTGGCTAGCATTTGCCCGAGAAGGTCGATGGCTTTTATCGCGTCTGACGTTAAGTCTTTCTTCACTATCTCTCCGCCTCTGCTGCAATTATCGCAACCCTTGTGGCAATCTTTTAGGTTAAACGACTCTCCGAAGTGAGCAAGAAGAAGACAACGCCTGCAGTCTACATCATTGTTACAGTACTGCACAACAGCGCTCACTTCCTCTTGTTGACGTTTTCTTTCAACACCTGAAAGGGGCGGCCTATCGGTGTCTCCTCTATCGTTATCAATCATCTTCATGCGCACGGTAGCATCTCGATAAGAATAATCTGCAAGCACTTGATTAAAATCAACTGTGGTCTGAGCGCAAAAAGCTTACAGAGAAGACAATCGGCGGGTAATCCATCTCGTCCAGCTCGACCGGTCTCTTGATAGTAACTAGATGCATTGTTAAAACATTACGATATACTGAGATTGTTAATTTCCAACACTAACCCGTCCATAGATTTAGGAATTGAATAATGAATGACGAATCTTACTGTAAACAGTCTGAGTAGCCACTTTAAGAAATTAGAACAAAAAAACTGACCGTCAGCCTTGTCTATGCCCATGCCAAAAGCAACCTTTAAAGAGAAACAAAGGTCAAATATTAGTTATCTACGAGAATAAAGAGTAACTTACCGTAGCAACAATAACTTTATATTTGTCATTTTGCCAGTCTACCTGATTCCTCTCTCTATCAAGAGCGCTCATGGCAGCATGGTATGGCCTTGCATCAATCTTGTACTCTTCTCTTAGCTTTTGCGCCACATCATCGCAGTTTTGCCTCGAAAGACAATATATCACACCAGTACTATTTGGATGATTCGATTTGATAAAAGCTACAATAGGCTGTAGTGCATTCTTTCCGGCCTTCGGGCGGACGCTATAGTGCAGGTTGGGTCGATTGAACGATTGCGTGAGACGAACACAATCCGTACGAAGTGTGAGCCGGCTGACGATCCCTTCGATCGCTGTCAAATCAGCAGTAGCAGTGAGAGCCATTATTGGAACATCTGGGTACCTCTCACGCAGAACATGCAGTGATTTGTACTAAATAGGTAGATAGTCAAAGACTGATAAGCGAGGCTTAAGTTGTAATATAATATTATGCTTACCGCATCACGGAAATCCCTTCCCCATGTCACGATACAATGTGCTTCGTCAATGACAAACCGAGCAATTTGTCGTGACTCGTAAAGGTCAGATAATATACTCTGTAACTGGGGACTCTCTTGCAACTTCTCTGGTGTGACGTATACAATAGAAGGTTTCTCGGAGCTTCTTAGCCGCCTCATGAGAGCCGTGCTAATGTCTGCTCCAGGTGCCGAAATTGAAGATCCGAAGAGTTCTGCGTCGACATTCTTCGATTTCAGTGCTTTGACCTGGTCAAACATCAATGCGATGAGTGGCGAAACCACAAATGTCACGCCTCGAGTTTTTCCAGACTGACACAAAGCAGGTAGCTGGTAGCAAAGACTCTTTCCTCCTCCAGTTGGCATCAGTACAAATACATCTTTCCCATTTAAAGTCGCATTCATAGCCTCCAGCTGGTTTTTGCGAAAGTGGTTAAGTCGAAACGTATTTTTTAGGATGGACATGATTTCGCCGTAATAGGGAGATGCTGTGCTGTCAACACGACCCGCGACTGTTGAAGTAGAGGCAACAGCTGTAGAAGAACTTGCAACACCAGAAGCGAAATCAGTGAAAGGAAGCGCATCCACGCTCGCCCAGAGCTCATCTTCAGCGTCAAATTCGTCAAACATGTCAGATGGAATAGCATCGAAATCCGTCGTGACTTGCGTGACTGCGTGTGCGTCGGATACCGAGGAAGTGTTGTTGATCAACGGGGGTGCTGTTGATATGGATGTTCCGATCATGCGAGGCTCCTGCACAGAGATAAATTTGGAAATTTCAACCTCGGGAGATACTTTACAGCGTTCGCGGGAGGACATCTCAGTCGTTATGGCTGTAAGACGCTCTTCAAGGAATTCACTAGTTGATAGCATTTAATGAGGCAGAAATTGGGTAGCAAAATGCGTACTTGACAGCTGTCAGAGCAAAAATGTCATGTGTTTCATCAGTTTTCTTGAAGAATTTGACCATAAGATCCATGATTTGCATGCGCCACTGGGTGTCAGCGGCGTACAAGGCCTTGAGGTCTTCCAACGATTTCTGAAGGGGAATCAGGTTTACCAAACTCATAGTAAATGGAAAACGATGTACCGAGGTTAGATCGGAAAAAGTTGAGCTGCGCAAGGAGAGGGAAGGGGAAGAGTTGGAATTGTTTGAAACACTTTCACGCGCCTTGCCCTTAACATCAGAGCTTCCTTGAAGCACCGGTGTGTTCTCTTTGTTGGCAGATACTTCTTGCTTCGGGCGTTTCAGCGCAGGCAATGACTCTTCTAACGATTGTCCATCCGAAGAACAACGTTTAGATGGCACATGAGATGACGCCTTCTGAACTGGCTTGATATCGTTCTCGTGATCTGGTGCTTCAGAGTTAGCCAACCGTGACGGTGACGCGATCCTTGAGTTACAAAATCCTGCGGTGGAGAAGGTTGGTAACGTCTTTGACTGGTGTTTCCTGGCTATGCACGATTTAAAACAAGCTCTATATAGAATATCGAAAGAGCTCACTGGTAATATGACTAAGCGTAGACGAGGCTAACGCTGATGTAGCTGGTTTGAACTTGGAAGCAGACTATAATGCGGCAATTGTTAGATCCAAATTATTTCCTAATTATCTAGGGCTACGCAAAAAATTGTACCTTCTGAGCATGAACTGAGACGCCGGAAGGCCCAGGTAAGGAAGGTGAGGAGGTCATTGTCCTCGCCTTGCGACGCAGATCTTCAAGGTTGTTCTTTGGAGTGTGCATTATACCTCAAAATCCAATTCACTGGCAAAAGTGACGCGACGACTCGAAGCGAGGCTAGTCCTGCAGGCTGTTCTGGTCAGATCCAAGGTGCATACAATGGTGCTCGCGACCGGCTCTCAATCGTATCCGAATCTTGTTGTTATCGATGTCTTCTGTATCAGAGTTGTGGGTAAAGGAAGAAGAGGATTAGAAACTGTCAATGGACGATTCCTCCGGATTGAGGAAGGCTTGAAAGCCAGCGGCTAGCTAACCCGTGACAGTCTAAGAGCACGTGAACCAAGGAGAACGCGTGACTGCGTGTACTACTCATCCAGTACTTTGTCGCGACTGGTGACCAAATACCGTCAAGTATCCTGATCGTACAAGGCGAAAACGCGTCTATCTTTTCAAAACACGTTTCAAAGTCGCAAAAAAACATATTCAATCAGGATGTCGGGCCAGTATTGGTTCCCCAATATGTCCGTCACAGAGATCATGGCCGCTCTGTCAGGATGGGGCTTATCTGTCAGCAACGAGCAGCTCGTCAGACCATCCTCTGATTTTGTCGCTACAGTTTACACGGCTTGTCTGGAACAGGTTACCTCGCTCTCGTATAACTCTTTGCATGATCCAGTCCAGCGCGTTCTCTCTTCTCTGGATGATGCTAATCCTGTACGTTCCCACTCACCTTGCTTTCGTATTTATGCCTTTAACATCATACGTAGGACGTCTATTCTGGAAGCATATCCCATAATATTCTGCTCTACCACTTGTAATGACCCTGGCTACTGTTTCCGTCGATCTAAATTAATATCAGTTATCCCAGGACACGCTTTGCCAACTCTGCACGGATACTGGACTTCAGCGCAAAGGACCTGTATATGCCTGACCCAGAACGAACTCGCTTTATATTATCTGCCTTCATCAATTTCGTGAAGTTCTCTGAACAATGTACCCCTTACATCAGTGCGCTGCGTGAAAAATCCGCTACCCTCATCGAAGAGCGCGAACAAGTTGCACAAGAGGTCGTTCACATTCAACGCGAACTTGCTGCCATAACGTATGTCACTTTCTAGTATTTATCTCTGCTTTCTTTTGATTTGTTCACAGGGCTAAGCGGGCTAAGAATGAACCTAAATGTGACGAGATACGACAGGAGAATGCTGCCATCACCGCCCATCTCATGGCAACGAAGGAAGTACAAACGTCAGTGGTGAAGGACATTGAGACTTTGAAGATAGAAAAATCTGCCGTTATCCATCGGAAAGAAAACATAAGTTCGGATACTGCTCTGCTTATGGACTCCATTTCGCGCACAAGATCACGAATCGTACAATCACCCGAGCGTATAAAGCGCAACATTACTGCCATGGGCGTCACGGCTATTGACGATAGGAAGACAGCTGCTCTCAATGAAGCGAAAGCACGCGATCTTCAGGCCAAAATTACTGCCCTTTTAAATATAGAAAAGGTCAAATTTCTTCTCATCATATCTGCTCCTTTGTGAGTTTCCACTAACGAACTTCTTCTCACATTTTAGGAAGTCCGTTCATGTGTCGAACAACTTCAGACCATCGAAAAAGAAACGAATGTCTTGGAGTTATCCCAGAAGGAACTAGCTGACCTGCGAGACAATCTTGAGTACAAGAATATTGAACGCAGCGAGTTGCAGATGAAAAAAGAAGTAAATTCATATTCACGCTTTCAATATTCAATCCATCTGATACATAACTTATTTTTAGCGTGTTTACAAACAACTAACTAATGCGCAGGACAAACTTGAACGAGCTCAGCGACATGCAGAGGAGAAACGTGCAGCCAGTCAACAGACTATCGAACGTCTTCAAGCAGAATATGAGGAGATGGTCGTCGATCGACGTGATAATGACAAGCAGCTCGAGGAACTCCGTGCAGAGGCAGACGACTACGAGACCAAGGTACACACAATCTTAATCTTTCTTAGTTTTGCACTAGTGCTGATACACCTATAATGCAGATAGCAGAACATCTGAAAAAGAGTGAAGCTGAGTTGAATCAACTGCTTACTGAATATTGGAAACTGCGACACGAGACAGGTTGGTTTCTATCACTTCTTGTCTCTTCCTGTTCACCTACATCTCATTCAGAGGTGTATATGGAGACACTTGCAAACAAGCTCAACATGAGGGTTTCCGACGACTAGTTGCTCTGTGATCATAAAGGGACAAATATATATGAGGACTTTTTGCTCAAGGAAATTCGGACATGGAAGAGAGTAATAATATTATTATGATTTACAATACCTGGTAATGCCCTGTAATACATCTCAAATAAATATATCGTATTGTATTATAATCTGTAATATTATCTTCCTTTTCCTTTCTGAATATTTCTTGGTTTACAATCACGACAAAACCACTTTCCCTTTGGAGCGTGTTTTAATCCAAGACAAGATAGATGGAACTGCGATTTCAAATACTCAGATGTGGTAGAAAGCAAACCGATTGAAAATATGACATACCCATTCAATTTTGCAGCCAGGATTATCGCATGCAACCATCTATTGAATCATATAGCCAACGAATGAATGAATGTTGAGCGTTGAAGAGAATATAGAACTACGTACCGTGTCGTATGAAACTTGATTGCAATAACAATATCTCTGCTCCTGAGGATCATCTGGCACTGTAGGTGGTAGACGAACAACAAGTTCGGGCGCTTGCGCCGGCACTCTCAGCTTCAAGGATCGGATCGTACGGGCCCGAGGTGCCAAGGGAACACTATCGTCAACTTTCTTGTCCAGAGTCTTTTTGCCTTTCTTTCTTGGTGTTTTTCGCGTGGGGGGCAGCTCTGATGGTGCATCTGAGGATATAATTCCTAGCGATGGTCCATGATCAGAGGGTGGCTCGTTGACTACCGTTTCGGTTGGTTGTGGCACCAGTTCATCCTCAGGGGAGAGTGAAGGCACAGGACTATGTTCTATGCGAGAAGGTCGAGCCCATCTGGGCACTACGAGGTCGGGAAGTAATATTGGGGCAAGATGAGTTCCCGCGCGGACACCAAGCGAAATGGAAGCCTCTTGCTCCTTAATGGCTTGATCAAACAGTCGAATGTGCCTATCTACCTGGCCAATGATAAATTTCAGACGCAAAACCAAGCAAAGGATGTACTCACAGATTCATAAGCGGCTTGGGCAAGATTGACCTTCTCTTCAGAGGCTTTCAAGGTCTCTTCTGATAGTTGAGCGATACGAACCAAAAGGCTTCGCGTGTCTTTTGGACCAGCAGCAGTGGATGCGGACGTAGACGTGAGAGGTATGGACGAAGGCGTAGCTCGGAACCGGATATCATTATCAGGTTGTCGAGGACTGAAGAGAGTTGTCATCTCGGTGTCAATGCGAGGTAACTCAGACGTAGATGGCGTCTTTTCAGGTGAGCGGGACACTGAAGGGTCAGATGAAGGATCGAAAGGTTTGGCTTGTGCAGAATGACTAGCCGGGGAATGTTGGATGGGTCCTGTAGTATGAGTGGGCTTGGAACGAGCTGCATATGTTCTGCGAAGGGCAATATAGTCAAGTACAGAGGCCAACAACTCCACATTGTAGGCTTTTAGAAGATTTGTTTAGTTTAGCAGAGAGGAATACAAATATATGTCGATGTTATATTGACTGACCCTGTGCTTGTCCATCGAGTTCCTTCAACAGAACATACTGTCGATGGAGGGAAAGCGGTAATTGTTCTATGACTGTAATAGAAGAACATGAGATCAGTCCGAATGAAAAGTACAAGAACACAGCGCACTTTCATAGTGTTCCTCTTTAAATGCGTCCCAGATATCAAGATCTTGCTTAGGATCTCCAGTTAATCCTTCAATCTTTCCTTGAGTTTCGGTGGGTGATTCGGTGGTGTTTTCGACTGCTGTGTTGTTGTTTTCGGTGCGCTCTTGTACGCCATTTTCAAATGCCTGAGAACGCCTCCGTTTGCGAGGTCTAAGAGACATATGCCGTTGACTTTTGTGCAGTAGTATTGAATTGTGCCAGTGGCAGGATGAAATGCTTGTTACACCCCGCCACAGCCTGTTAGGTCATTTGTCGGCTCTCAGAGGGCACGTGCACCCCACTTTTGGCTGTACTGACTTTCTTCAGAAGTATTACAGAAGTATTCTGATATCTCAGAAATGTTCTGATACTCCACTAGTCCTGCATATGAGCAACGCAGTTTGCGGTGCTTTCTTGGCACCTGTGCAACAAATTAGTTCCAGTGCTGTGTCGGCTTAAATATCCATAAATCACCCCTACGATGCTGTGGTCTGTTTCCATTGTTCCTTCTATATCACTCAAGAAGCCTCATGTCCAAATCTATAAACTATACTGGGAAAAGAACGCAGTAAACGTCGCCTAACATGGGGACCTGCAAGCCGGAGCGTCTATTGTCCACCATCCCTCTAGCGTCTCCAGTCACCTACAAAAACTGCACATTTCGTTTGTTCGCTGGAGCTGTGCCAGATTCTCCCCCGCTCACATTTGTGCACTCACAATGTTTGCCTCTTTCGTCTCTCCAACTATCGGCGCTTTGGAAATCGCAGGATCTTTATGTGGCGTACCATACGTCCAAGCTGCTGCTACGGTGATTCAAGGCATCACTAATGCATGCAATCAAGTGGTAGTTCATAAGGTGAGTCATGGGCTGGTAACTCGCAACATCACTGTAAGGCTCAGATGGATCGCAGAAAAAGGCAAAACAACTTGCTCAAGACTGTAATCTTCTGTTGAATGTCATCAGTGACCATGCTACCGGTTTAGCAGGGACAGAAATTGGCCATGTGGTAGATGAAGTGATGGGGCAAGCAAGCATACGCTCAGTTCTAGTTTTCTTCTTCTCATCTTCGAGTACAGTGTCCTACAAATGGTTAATGGTCGCACGCATAAATTTGCAAGCTACAGCAAGTTTGAGCGCTATCGTAAGCTATCTGGCCTATGTCAATGTGCATCCTAACAGTATTATTCAAAGTGAAAATGGCTCAAATCCAAGATGGCCTCGATTATTGTTCTGCTGAGGTCCATCGGGCGTATAAGAAATTCAATGTGCGTGTATCCAGTTTGCTATTGTGTATTGCCTCATGTAATTTCTGTATGTTTCAAGTTTGATTCCGATTTAATAATCCATAAGAATCAGCATCATACGATGCAAATGATACAAGCTCACACGGCAGGGATAAAAGAGACCTTGCTTGACCTTTTGACTAACCAGCAAGAGATTACACGTGCAGTCCAAAACCACCAGGCTGGTGGTAGCATGGCACGGGACCTCATGAGGGCTGGTCAAGAGGTAGGTTTTGCATACTCCCTAAAAGTGCTTCTTTCTTATTGATAGCCGCTTTTCTACACAGCAAATGATACGATTAGAAAGTAACCTTCCTCAGGAATCATTTATGGTGCGACCTGGAGCAAGGCCACCATCACCACCGCCCTCTCCAGCGCGGACAGAGCAATTGCAGATTCAACAAGCTCTCATGAATCTGCAGCGTTTGACAAGCATGGCTCCTTCAATCAAAATTTTGGATGGTCAAGTGACAAGAGAAGGTGATATGGCTGTCGCTGGAGGTCCTTACAGTGACGTTTGGTTAGGTTCCTGGTTAGGAGTGAAGGTACATATTTTGAGCTCTCCTATTTGCGCGCGACGTGATTCTCATGGGCACCTTTTGGTGGTATCAAAGGTCGCTCTCAAATGCCTTCGCATGATTGAGAACGCTGACTCCAAGTTCTTGAAAGCTGAAAAAGTAGGCGAAACCTGTATACAATATGGAATGCTAACGTAAAGACGTTATTGCTAGCGCTTCGAGCATGAAATTACTGTGTGGTCCAAACTAAAGCACGAAAATGTCTTGACTCTCTATGGCGTAACCAACTATTATGGTGCGATACATGTTGTAAGTTGTTGGAATTTTGGGATAGCCGGTATCGTCATTTACCTGCTCTTCTTCAGGTATCGCCTTGGCAAGAACACGGCAATGTGTTAATGTATGGCTTTTTTCATTTATATTCAAGAGCAGGAGTTTGACCATTTCCAGGTATATTAACAACAACCCCGACGTGAACCCAGTAAGGCTGGTAAGCATGTGTATCAGGGGCTCATTCGGGTTGGCTCAAATTTTTCCGTGTTAGCTTACGCAAGCTGCAAATGGAATTGCATATTTGCATGCCCAAAAAGTATTTCACGGCAACAGTGAGCACCATGCATTTGAGGTCTTTCTCATGTTTTCTTATTGGCTTGTCTATCTTTACAATAGTTAAATGCGTGAGTCTTCATGTTATCATATTCCTTTTGTGTACTGACGAGGATACCAGAGCAATATACTTGTATCAGCAAACGTGAGGATCTCAAACATGTGGAACCGTTCGTTCAGTGCCATTAAACTCGTTCATCTTCTAGGGTGTCGTTTGTATCTGTGATTTCGGATTGACTCAAGTCATAGAAGAAGTGACAGGTGGATCACTATCAGCAACCCTCACAGCCGCAGGGTCCGCTCGATGGCTGGCTCCTGAGCTCATTCAGGACGAAAACCCCAACATAACAGCTGCCAGTGATGTCTATGGCTATGCCATGGCTGCGTTGGAACTCCTCACAAGAAAACGGCCCTTCGCGCATCGCAAGCGTGATGTCACGGTTGTCAATGATGTCGTCAATGAACGTTTGACCCCACCGAGGCCAGAGGAACCGGAGGTCAAATTGTGGTTGAACGATGAGCTGTGGTCCATAATGCTGAAATGCTGGTCATGGGAACCTGCCGATCGCCCAGCAATGGCTGAAGTGTACACTCAGGTTAAAGCCATCGCTGATTATTACGACGAACACGATCTGTAACCGAGGAACACACAGCGAGAAGCGATCCATTACGAGTGAACCTTGAGCCTGCGCCCTCTCAGTAATTAGGGATAACTCTGGGCTACCGCCGCGAGGGACCTGTAGGACATTTGTTTGTTAACATTACCCGGGACGGATTGGTTACATGGACAGTTTCATCTCGGACATGCAAAAATGTACAGTAGCACATTAACATTACGTATGCGGTAACAGTCAATACTGTACAATATTACATCTTCGAGTTTCGGCTTATACTGTATTGCCTCTAGAGACTCCACCTAGGAACGAAGCTTTACTTGCAATTGAATGCACTATGGTTAGCTACAGTCCAGCTGGATTTTCGGTGGTTCCTCCAGCCTATTCTCAGACCTGTCTGTATTCTTGGAGGTCACGCGGTAAAACTCAGCCCAAGCAGACACTCCCAAACCCGACAAGTTTCCGTGCTTGCCATCTTATAAGACCTGTCAGTCTCTCTCATGGAAGTCTCAGCTGCCTTTCACTATGTCGCGTTCATTCCTCGAAACCCCCATCGACGAGCTTGTTAGCAAGCTAAAGGTCGACGAGAAGATTGCTCTTTTAGGTGCACCCAATTGGTGGAACACTAATGCCATTCCGCGTCTCAAAATCCCTGCGCTCAAGATGAGTGACGGTCCAAATGTACGTGTATTTATATAGATTCAAGCAGTATGGTGCTGACCCAGGTTTTTTACTAGGGTGTTAGAGGAGCGTCTCATTTCCTCTCCACTCCCGCGCAGTGCCTTCCCGTACGCATAATTGCCAATTGATCCTCAGAATGCATTGTGTACCATTATCTGTTTAACAGTGCGAGACCTCAATGGCCTCTACATTCGACACCGAATTGATACACGACGTTGGTGTCTTTCTGGCAGAGGAGGCCAAGCTCAAGGCTTCGGTTATTCTCCTGGCACCTACTTGCAATATACAGCGTACACCTCTCGGTGGTCGAGCCTTCGAGTCCTTTTCAGAAGATCCCCATCTTTCAGGTGCGCTATTCACATTATCAAAGTGAAGAAAAGGCAGGCTGCTTAGCCCCCGACTTTTGGTTAGGTACCCTGACTGCTGCTTATATTAATGGCCTACAGTCAAGAGGCGTTGCTTCAGCAATCAAACACTTTGTCGCCAATGACCAAGAGAGCGAACGTACTGCTGCAGAATCTGTTATGTCAGACAGAGCTCTTCGTGAGATTTACTTGTACCCGTAAATATATCTTCTATCCAGTTGGGAAGTTAAGTCCTGACATATATGCACCAGCTTTATGCTAGCCCAAAAACTTTCGGAGCCATGGTCTTTCATGACTGCGTCAGTTCATCCCACATGCTCTTATGTGACTTTTGATTAACGTTGTCATCAGGTATGGTCGATTGCATGGAGTCCATTGTTCAGAAAATCCAGAATTGCTAGATGGTATCCTTCGTAAAGAATGGGGCTTTGATGGTATCATCATGAGTGATTGGTACGTTTTCGTACTTGAATACTTTATTCTTTGAAATAATAGGTTGCCTTCAGGCATGGTGTTTACGGCACAGACCAGTCAATCAACGCTGGCCTCGACCTCGAAATGCCAGGACCTCCTCGTTGGCGTACAGCCTTCCTCATCCAGCATTGTCTCTCGTCGCAAAAACTCAAAATGCCAACCCTCGACGAGCGTGCTCACAAAATGCTCACATTCATTCAGAAAATGGCACGAATCCACCCTGACATTGTATTTGGCGATGGTACCGAGAGGTCGCGTGATTCGCCAGAGATGAGGAAGTTTTGTAGGAAGCTTGCGGGTGATGGGATGGTGCTCTTGAAGAACACGGGTAATTTTTTGCCTATCACCCCTACCAAGGTTAAGAAGATTGCCGTAATCGGACCCAATGCAAAGGGCAACGTGATCTCTGGAGGTGGTTCTGCTGCTCTCAAGCCAACTTATGTTGTTACGCCATGGGATGGTCTTGTACAGAATGCTCCAAAAGGGGTTGATATTAAGTACGAATTGGGATGCTACGGTGAGGCTTATCAATTGCACAAATCATCATTATTTACACTCGATTGATGTCACTTTCAAGCCCACAAGTACCTCCCAACTCTCGAAAGTTATCTGAAGACTCCCAAAGGCGAATCGGGATGGGTTTGCGCGTTTTTTAAACACGATGCACAAGGAAACCCGACGGAACAAGTCGCTGAATATGTTCTTCAGGATACGAGGATCAAGTTGAACGATTTCTTGCCGGCAGGCCTTACACCTACCTGGACGATAAAGTTAAAGGGCTTATTAACGATGGACAAGACAGCTGCATACGAATTGGGTCTGACCGTAGCTGGTCGCGCAAAGCTATGGATCGACGGCAAACTAACTATCGATAACTGGACGAATCAGCGACCCGGTGATTTCTTCTATGGGTTTGTCATATATTCTTTAGATGGCGTTTGGCTCTTTTAACAGCATATCCTTTCAGGCAAGGGACTGTTGAGGAGAAAGCTACCGTTAATCTCAAGGCCGGAAGCCCCGTAGAATTGTTAGTGGAATACACTAATACCGTAGGGGCAAGTAGTGAAGACGACGGAGTCGACAAAGGCAATTCTCAGCCCGCTCTCATGCGCGGAGTAGTGCGTTCTTCTATCAGTTCAAAATGCACAATTATCCGACACTTGTTCACTTTTTGTAGAGGATAGGCGGCGCCGAAAAAATCGATCCTGACAAGGCCATCAATGACGCTATTGCTCTCGCAGCTAAATCCGATGTGGTGGTGTTCGTTGGAGGTCTTACGCCAGAGTGGGAGAGCGAGGGTTTCGACAGACCTACGTTAGATATGCCTGGCAGGCAAAACGAGCTCATCGCGAAACTCGGTCAAGCGAACCCAAATACCGTTGTATGCATCCAAGCGGTCAGTATGCCAACTTCCAATCTCCTACTGAGCCTGACAAATATTGTTTTTAGGGATCAGCAGTGGCTATGCCATGGGTTCAGCATGTCAATGGGATAGTTCAAGCATGGTACTCTGGCAATGAGGTTGGCAATGCTCTTGCTGATATCCTCTACGGCGACGTCAACCCATCCGGGAAATTGTCGCTTACCCTTCCGGCTTGTATGGAAGACATGCCGTCATATCTGAACTTGCAAAGTGAAAACGGTCAAATTCATTATCGCGAGGATCTGTTCGTCGGCTACAAGCATTATCAAGCCAGAAATATCAAGCCACTTTTCCCATTTGGGTATGACATTTTCTAACTAGTCTTTCTATGTGTTTTTACGACTACCATCTCTATCTAGATTTGGCTTGTCGTACACGAAGTTTTTGTTGTCCAACTTGTCTATTTCAGCTGTCACTTCACATGACGAGTCTTTCAGCGTGGCGGTTAATGCTACGATTGCCAACGTTGGATCAGTGACAGGTTCTGGCGTCGTGCAGCTCTACATAACGTTACCAGATATTGGATTGACTACGCCCTCCCTGCAGCTTAAAGGTTTCGCTAAAGCACGAGACCTGGCAGCTGGTACTTCACAGACAGTAAAAATATCCCTGGACAAATACGCCATATCGTACTGGAATACGCCGAAGAAAGCCTGGTACGCAAACGCGGGCGAATATCACGTACTTGTGGGCACCAGTAGCGACGATCTTCCTCTTAAGGGCAGCTTCAAGTTGAAACAGACCTTCTCCTGGAGCGGCTTGTGAAAAAAGTGTTCTGCATCGAAGCTGAGAGTTGAAAAACGAATGTATGAATATACTGTACTTGTAGCTACCGCGAAACCAAACGAACCCATTTGCATATTTTCAGCTTGGCCTACCACAACACGAACGAGGTGTATGTGGTGGTGCACGTGGGTGGATTTCATATCTTGTGATCATTCACAATTCGGATTTACGGGTTTCCGCAGAAAAAGGAAACTCTCACCGATGAAAGATAATCTCAAGACTGATGTCAAAGCGATAACATATAATAATCATAAAGGTTAGACGAACAGTGTATTTCCCTTTTGATTTATCCCATCCGTCTTATCAGAGATCTGCCGTCACGTCCAACTATTCCACTATAACCACTATAACTGGAGTGCCCTTCAGTCATGGCCGAGTTCGATCCCGTTACCCACCCACATCGTCGATGTACGTATTTGTATGTTCTTAGTCAAGTCTCCAGCTATAATATCATTTTCCTCCAGTCAATCCTTTGATCAACAAATATGTTCTCGTTTCTCCTCACCGCAACAAACGGCCCTGGTTAGGCCAGGTTGAACCACCTCAGGCAACTATTTTGCCCGAGTATGATCCCGCTTGCTACCTTTGTCCCGGAAATACTCGGGCAGGTGGAAAGACAAACGAGAAATACGAAACAACCACGGTTTTTGAGAACGACTTTTCCGCCGTCCTACCTCCCCCTGGTCCTGTTGCTCCTGCTGCCTCTCACCCTCTGTTGACGGCCGATCCTATTCAGGGTGGATGTGATGTTCTGTGTTTCCATCCCAGACACGATCTTACACTTGCTACCCTTCCTGTTCCAATCATTAAGAATATTATCGCAGAATGGATTAACCTGTATACCAAGAGGGGCAGAGAAGATGGAATTAAATATGTGCAGATTTTTGAGGTATGTTTGCGGATATAATTAACAGTGCTGATATTCTGATCAATGCCAATCTAGAACAAAGGGGCTATGATGGGTTGTTCCAATCCGCACCCGCATTGCCAGTCTTGGTCTCTTTCGGTCGTCCCTTCTATACCTTCTACGGAGTTAGATTCCCTTAAGGGTTACGCGTCATCTACCATAGTAGACAGCGGCGCTCCGAAGGGACCACACGGCTGCCCATGTATGCTTTGCGAATACGCTCATCATGAGGTCAATGTTGCCGAAGACGAAGGCCGAGTTGTTGTCAAGAACGATGACTGGGTTGCTCTAGTCCCCTGGTGGGCCTACTGGCCATTTGAGATATTGTGTCAGTTTTCTTTTGTCGTGAATATAACTTGTGCTAATGAACATGATATACATGTAGTGTTGCCATACAAGAGACACATATCCTCTCTGTATCACTTAACTGAGTCCGAGAAAGCGTCGTTCGCAGACATATTGTCCAGGATCACGAAGCGTTACGACAATCTCTTTCAATGTTCCTTTGCGTATTGCATGGGTATCCACCAAAGGCCCCTTCCTCCTTCTGAAGTAGATGGAGAAATAATGGAGGATGAAGATGATGTCGCGCACTTGCATTTGCACTTTGAACCACCTTTGTTGAGGAGCGCAACTGTGAGGAAATTCTTGGCCGGGTAAGCATTGATATTAGATCTTTAGCTTATGCAGAACACTCATCCTATTGCTTGGGTAGATTTGAGTTGATGGCCGAACCGCAACGGGATTTGACGCCAGAACAGGCTGCACAGAGGTTGAGAGAGTGTTCTGAGATACACTATCTCCACCAGGAAGAGATATCTTAAGGGGAGCAGGATTACGCCAAGAGCTCATATGACTACTGGCACAATAGATGAATAGGGAGCGTGTATACTTATCTGAATATTGTATAGAAGTAGAATGGACGGTCTGCAGCTCATTGCGTAACCTTATCCTCTAGTTCAGTCAAATCATTGGTATGTGGGTGGAATAAGTAACTCGCCGCAGTCCTCCGTACTATAGAGTATGGATCTCGTCAAAAGAATGATGAGTAAAAACAAACAATGGAATAATGAACATGCGTAGCATGTATATCAATGATATGATTTTTTAGCCCGGTTTATATGTGCCCTCAACTTCTGCTGTTTCTCTCTCAATGATGCCTTTTTCTTGCCTCGAACAGCTCCACTGCGCATGATCATCATAATGGGCTTGTTCCTAGCTTTCTCTCTGTTGGTGGAACTACTCGGCGCTTCTTTATTCTTTTTGCCCTTCAGTGATCCATATTTCTCTCGGCCCTCTCGACCCTTCTCGATGGAGGCTATCCGCTCAGCGTAATCGGCTTTAGCTTTCTTCCGCGGTCCAAGAATAAGGTCCTCAGAGATAACAGCGTCCTGAGCTGCTCCTGACTGAGCGTGCTTCGCATTGGCTTCCAGTTCAGCAAGTTTGCGTTTTGCCTTGGGGCCTCCACCAGCTTCAACCGCTTTAGTCGCAGCTTGTAGTCGCAGCTCGTTTAGTAGTGCAAAGTCAGCAGGAGTAAGGATCTTTATCACAGTGAGCAATTGAACGCGGCACACAAGTCATGGATCAACTTACCTTTGTGGTCACTAGCGTTGATTGACGGTTTACATCCACGGCATCTTCCCCTCCCGTTGTGTCCATTTTATTTTTTGATTCTGGGTCCTTCTCATCCTCGCTATCACTAATATCCAAGTCTCCATCCGATTGAACATCCATCCATCCTTCTGATTCCGACTCGGATTCCGAATCTGAGTCGACGTTCCAATTATCCCAGCCGGCTTCTTCATCTGATTCTTCTCCTTCATCACGAAGTGCGTTCAAATGATCTTCCAGGAGCTTTGGGAAAATAAAAGTCAGGAGGCCGTTGACTTGCAATTATTGAGAACATACCGTAAGACCCTCGACGTCCATCGCAGGCGTAGCACTGTGACCAAAGGGTAAAGCTTGACTGCCTGCGGCCATACCAATACTTGCTTCTTTTCCCTATGTTATGTTAATTTTTTTTACGTTTATACTGCAGTTAGAGATATATACTCACTCTTTCTCTCCGCTTGAGCATACTAGGGTTGACCTCGCGGTATAACTGCAGCAATCCACGGGCAGCAGCAGTGACTGGTTTGTCTTTACTTTTTCTATACTCCACGAGATCCCCCAACAGATCATCCTCCATAGCCCACGGTTGTCTCCGACACACTTCTCGTATAGCGTTTATACCTGCCGCGATGACTTCGCTTCCTACACCAGGATGGACAAATTCATGGGCCAATTTCCTAATGACAGGGACAAGCACATCAGGTGGGGTCAATTCGTGTACCGATTGAGCCAGTGCCGCTAGAATAGCAGGCACTCGTAATTGGTGGTAGGCAAGATACTTCATAACATAAGTATAGAAACCGAGAACACAAGACTTGTGTGCGCCCATGACGCGAGACAAGAGTTGCATGATAAGAATCTTGTGATCCAAAGACAATTTCTTATCGCATATATTCATGTTGTCGTAAAGCTTTTCCGAAAACGTCTGGGGATCGTGAAGGAGTTGAAGAGCAGGGAAGTTTGGTTGCGAGGGCTCCTTTAAGCTGATTCTTTTCTAAATAAGAGCGGCACGATAAATCAGATGTGGTACTACCTGGAGAAATAGACGAAGTAGAAGAAACAAACCTTTGAAACTGATTTAAGCTGCTTCTGCAACTTTTTATCCCCACTTCGCGTCTTCTTGTTAATCTCGCGCCGATGACGCAGGGCTCCGACGTCGGGGAGCTTCAAGCTGTGTGAGTGAGGGATGAGATCATGGTATCTCTAGTAAATACCTCTTCCTTTTCGTCATCGCTATCTTCTTTTTCGTCGTCACTGCCAAGGAAAAAGTGGATAGATGCATTTTGGACCTTGACCACAGGATGCAAGCACCCAAGAGCAACTATGGCCACAGATTTTGCATCAGACCTAAATCGGAGGTTAGGTTTTTAATCGTCGATGAAGGATACACACAAGGAAGCTACCAGATACCCTTTCTCCACAGTTCTTTTGTTAGAATTACAGCCCACATTGCACTCTCCCCAGTATTTGTGGTTCGATCAGCGGAAGGGGTCACGTTGGTATGTTGTTTGGCTTTATTACCAATGGTTTCACCGTCCAAGCCCTGCTCCACCATCCCGAAGAGTAAAGCCTGCACCGCACGATTTAGTTTGTGATTCTTAGAGCGAAGGTTTGCAGTCCTTATGTCAGAAAGGATGGTTTTACGAATGTAGGAGCGGAGACTTGAAGAAGTCGTTTTGGATAATAGAGGGAAAAGTGACTTGAGAAGTCTGCGATCTTTCAGTCAGTAGATGCAATGCTAAATGTATGGCACTTACTCTATGGAAGTGATTACGTTCTTATTCCGCAACATGACCAGGTTCTGCACCAATGTTTTGCGAGTGTCTGGAGATAAAGAGCCATAGCTTTCGAGCAGAAGGGTAGAGAGATGAGAAGGAAATTCTGCAGTTTCCTTTGGGTAACACTGTGCTACCTGGAGCATAATGTTTAGTGATTGTGCTATGGATCTCTGAAGGAGCGGGATCTACCTGGGATATAAACGACACCAATTCTCTAAAGTGCTGAGCTTGTTCGTCTGGATTAAATCGAAATATCTGGCGTATGCTGTTATAATGATTCCATTGCTGAAGAAATTCTTCTTTGTACGATGCTGGATCGCGTTTTATGAGATTTTGCAATTGAGGAAGATTGGAAGTCAAAAGAACACCACGGCCCATTGCTGCTTGGAAGAGAAATGAAGAAAATATGGCATATCAGCAATTCTGCATAATCGGACTTGGTCGATACTCTTTGAAACTCCGTCGCTGCATCCGGCCATATATTACCTAATATTGTTATCCAGCGACCTCGAGGCTGATTAGATCGACTGAACCATTACATGTCTGCTCTAGTTGTCTATAATCCAGTCTGTGGTGATAGCACCGCACACACATTCTTCCAAGAACATGTATTACCTCTTCTCCACGAGCATAGCATCGCAACTCCTCACATAATACTTACTGAACGTCCCGGTCATGCAGGCACTGCTGTCGTCGACTATCTAACCTCCAGGGCTGATCCTCAGGCTGAGCTAACTATCATTCTTGGCTCCGGTGATGGAACATTACACGAAATAATCAACGCCATTTCCGTTTCCCCTACGAAAGGTTACTTCATCAGCTTCGTTCTTATTCCTTGTGGCACAGCCAATGCCCTCTACTCGTCTTTCTTTTCCCCGGTACAAGGCGATACCACTCCTGCTTACCGATTACAGTCCTTGCACAAATACCTTGGAAAATTCCCCTCTACCCCTCTCACTTTAGCTCGCACGACTTTAGTGTCACCCGAGAGTGATGATCACCCCACAATCGCCGTTTCCGCCGTCGTAGCCTCTACCGCTCTACATGCATCTATCTTACTTGACTCAGAGAGTTTAAGACAACAGATGCCTGGGATAGAGCGCTTCAAGGTTGCTGCCATGAATAATAGCACCCGATGGTATAATAGCTCCATCAAGCTTTTACCTGTACCATCGGTTGGGAAAGTAGAGATTTATGACCCTCGGAGTGATGCTTTCACATCCTTCCCATCGGAAAACGAACACGACTCAGAAATTGAGCTAGATGGTCCTTCCATATATTTTCTATCCACCGTGAACGTCGATCGCCTAGAGCCTTTCTTCTGCATTGCGCCTCTCATGTCGCGTGATACACTCAAACAAGAGTCGATGCACGTCGTCATAATTCGTCCTCAGCGCGATCCATCATTTAAACCTGATAGTCATGAGATGCGGGTCGCCTTTGCGGAAAAGGTATCAGCGGTCCTTACTGCAGCTTATAACAATGGAAACCATACTAAACTACGATATGGCGAGGACGGTCGAGTGACTGACGAAGGATCTGGCCCAACAGTGGTAGAATATATCCGATGCGGAGGGTGGGAATGGATACCGGTAAGCTATTCCACACAAACATCAGAGTAAATAATATGTTTGACCCAACAACGCTATGACAGAATAAAGACGACGAGAGGGCACACCTTGTGTGTTCTGATGGTGACATACTTGAAATCAAGAAAGGAGGCAAGGCCTCCTGCAGATTAGCATTACAAGGGCATAACGACAACACAGAGTGCAAGGTTTACGCATGATAGAAATAGAAGTTATATAAAATTTGCAAGATTATCAGTGAATTTTGTGCTGCACAGTCACAATTGAAAACAGGCTGAAGGTAAAATCAGGGAAGTGCACGTGAAAACAAGTTCTTTATGACTTGACTAGCTTCTTTGTGTACTACTTCGATTGAAGCGGTACTATCGATCTGCTCGACTCAGTCAGTTCAGCCTTAAATGACATAAATTGTAAGGTCACCTCAGCCACTTTATCTTCTTTTGCATAATATTGGATGACGGGCATCGTTTGATCGTTGTAAGTGCCTGTGTCAGAGTGCTAAGAAAGACCCCAGCATTTGTTTATCTTGAAAAACTAGCTTACGAAAACGCTTCTTGATGCTCTCGATGTTGTCATCTTCGCGGCCACTGGTTTTGCCACGCTCGAGAAGGCGCACCAGCATGACCTCCTCTGAAGTCGTGAAAAAGATTACAAGAGAAGCAAGGCACACCTAATAAATAACTTCAGCGATGAGTAGACCGACATGTGCCGTGGCTGAAAATGCACCTCTGTGTCAAACTTGATAGCTTGGTCCATTTTTCTAGGGAAACCATCAATCAAAAAGCGGCCTCTACCGTCATTCCAACCATCCCCTGTCCTGCGCTGCAGTTCGGCGGTCATTTCGTTCTCAAGTAATTTGACAGTCACTTCCATCGGAACTATTGTACCTTCCCGAATACAGGTCTGTATCAAGATACCGTACTGGGAGCCAACGCGATTCTGCTCTGCACGGAGAAGATCGCCAGCTGAAGAGTATTGATTAATAATCAGATTGGCATTGATACTGGCAGATATCGCATTCAAAATCACCTGAAAGGTGACAAAAGCCAAAGTCTTCCACTAGCCTCCCGCATTGTGTACCTTTACCTGCGGAGATCGACAACAGCATCAGAAGCTTGAAGATGATATGAAGTTATATAAGTGTACTTGCCAGCTCCCGGTCCACCAAGAATGTAGATAACAGTAACTTTATTATGGTCAAAGGTAGCTTTTGGCGCATGCTGAGGGAACTGCCCATCAGCAATTGTGCTATCGGGGGACATGATGGAGGTGTTGAAACGGTGGTGATTTCTGGGGAAAGATGGCTACTATGTGATTAGACTATGAGAGTGATACTATCAAAGGATTACTATTCAGTTACATACCTCAATATTTATCGGATATTTATCTGCCAGCGTACTGGACCAAGTTAAACCGCCGCGGTGATATTCGCGTGACACACCATCACGTGCATATTGTCCCGATGTAGTCACGGCGCTCACCAAGAACTTGAATGTGACAAGGCTCGGATTACCTTGAGGTACGAGTATGGATGCAATCCGCGATGAGCTTCCCCGTATCTCAGTAGAGACTATGCAAGATTGGAAACGCGTTCAAGCAAACTACAATGATGCTTTACTTTTAAGACTAGAAAAGGAGATTGGCGCTCAGGGACTATCACAGGAGAGAGATGCTCTCTTGGCACATATACACAAGGTGTGTTTAGATGGCTTTACGACAGTGTTTCCCCATGTCTGATACGCTACATAGTTCTCAGCTCAAGTTTTTGGAGTAGCCCGTCCTAATTTGCGGATTAATGGTCGTAATTATGAAGACATGGAGGATGACGAGGAAGGCGCGTAAAACTGTCAAGCTCGGAGTCTCTGTCTTACTTAGTTTCCAGAGTTGGAGCCATTTGATGAAGCACTAGATCGTCACATATGGTCTCTGTCAGAACAGCGGCTGAAATGGGACCGAGAGATTGCTAGTGAACGGCGAACCAAACCTGCGGAAGTCGAAACACTTTTACAAGATGTCCTCATGCGACATCGAAATTTGCATTCGGAAATGGCACTTGACTCGGAAAATGACACAGCAGATGGTATTATACCAGACGGTATGTTTATTATTCCTTTCAGAACAGTCGATTATCTCATAGATGATTCAGCCCCGAGTGAACTAGACATAGGGCTCGAGCAGGTCTTCAGTGAGACAACTGCAATGTCTACATCACTGAACCAGGTATTTCTTTATCCTCTTCACTGGTCCCCCTATATTTAAAACACTCGTTGCACCAGACAATACCTTCCCAGAATGAGCGAGCTACAAGAATGAAGTCGGTTCTGCCTGAGATTAAGAATCTCAAGGACTGACTAACGTTGCGGTGTATTTTCATTTGGAACACCAAAACATCTTCCCACCCAACAATCTCAGCGTTCGCTCACAAAGAGCCATGTAGATTGTGTAAATTTTAAGAACCTCTGAAACCCCCTCGACCAAAACCACCACGGCCCCCACCACCACCACCTCTGAACCCGCCTCGTCCTCCGCCTCCCCCGCGCTCACCACGAAATGACCCTCTTCCAGCGCCTCTACCTCCAAATCCACCTCCACGTCCACCTCCTCGTTGAAAGCCTCTGGATGGAGGTCCTCCCCGTCCCCGACCTCCAGCACCTCGACTGCCTCCTCTACCTCGTTCTGTAAGAAGAGATATGATGAACAAGTTATAAGATGAGCGGAATACAACATACTTGTAACGCCTATAGTCACAAATATAGTCCATGATGAATATAGTCCTTTTCGTTGTATAACACAATAAACTTACCTCCAGCCACTTTTGGTTTTGGTAAAAATCTCTCAATCGGCAAGAGCTTGTCCCCACCTATATACACTTTGTCACCTTTTTTGAAGCTATTTGCTACCAGTCCATCGCCCATCTTTACTGAAAAATAGACTTCGTTGATGGGCCCAAGAATCTCGTCGACTTTGCCGATGACTGATTTATTCTGCAGATAGATGGGAGCATTGAAGTATGGAACTTTATCAGGTATCGAAGACGAGCACAGCATCTCATCTTCGACGGCATGTACGAAAGAGCCCATCTCTGTAAATATTGCAAACGTTGAGTAGCGATTCTGGTAATCATATCGAGTTTACTCGCCCAAGACAGTATCTGGGGGGCCAAAGTTTTGTTGGAAGCCTCCGCGTCCACCACCACGGCCTAGAAAATTGTCACTGTTCAGCAAATATGCAAGAACGACGTCAAAAAAAATAGGCTAGATACCTCCTCTGCTGCTAGAAAAACCTCTTCCTCTGCTCATGGTTAATAGTGAAAATGTTGATCTATAGACTTTGCATGAAGCAAAATGGTGGCTAGAAGCTCTTGCCAAACAATAACAAATAACGGATTTCACCTATCAGTGGATCCGGAGCACCAAGGCGCGCACAGACATGGTGGATGTATAAGTACTACAAGACACCCTTGCAAAATCATTTCCCTTTTCTTCTCTTCCCCATTCTCTGAAAAATGTCCGAAGATGCTCTAAGAAACGTTGCCCTTCCCAAGACATCAGCGACCTTGACTGTCCGGATCATCAAATCTTTTGAATACCGCACCGAACGTAGTCTGGTCATCCACGACGTAAATTTGGAAACAGTGACCATAGGTCATCTCAAGCAGATCGCACGTGAAGGTAGAATATAAAGTCTACTGAATGTACATTATAATGGCTGCACCTATTTACCCCTACTTTAGCCGTCCAATCTCAGCCCGGGTGGAGACCTTATCGTAATGTAGCATTAGGTTAAGATCATTGGTCGCTCTATCGTCTTCCTTGTGAAGTGACCCGTTTTGCAGATACTTTGAAATTGTACACAAAAGCCCATGGAGCAAAGGTACTAAGGTACGCTCCATTCTCGAAAGCGAGCACGCATCTGACAAGGCACATACAAGACTACTAATTTGATAATCAATTTGGACAACGACGATTGGATCCTTGACGATGACAGCAAGATCCTAGCAGAGTATGGCTTCGGTGAGTGGGCTTGCTCTTCGATATCGTAGGTCCGTACTTAGTATGGTCTTATCGGATAAGAAAACGAAACCGAAGTCAGCTTCTTCGGTCGAGAACTTTACGACAAGTTCAAGCTGGACCCTCAAGTGCGTCCAATCTCTGATCAAACATGTTACCCTTTAACAATTTCCTTACCTAGACTCGATGGGATGTCTGAGTGTTTCAAGAAAGCTTATTAATCGCGATGTATTCGATGTAATGACATGGTCATCTATGAAATCTGCCAGTGGTAGTAATAGCATACTTGTGGATACGATCTGAGAATAAATGAGAGTCGCATGAACACTACTGGTTTGCACACTGCACACGCGGTTCCCCTTCGTGATCTTCGTCCATAGGCTCATCCTGCATTGCGTGGGCTTTAGACCTCGCATCAGGCTCATCCAACTCCACTTCCTCAAGATGAACATTCTTCGGGAACTTCTCTAGCGGTTTCCGTGGTGGCAGGGCCCGTTCTAAGAGGCCAATGGAACCCAAATCCACAGATTCAGGGAATATCACAGAGAATTTGACGAATAAGTCGCCAGGTTCATGATGCCGTTGAGATGGCATACCCTGTCCACGAATGACCTTGAGGTCATCTGTCACGCAAGCATCAATAACGGAGGGAGCGATAATATGCAAAGCATCTACTTACTATTTTTGATCACTTCTCCCGCAGTAAGGTTAACTAGCAAAGCCCGGTCGTCCAGATGCTTGATGCTGATCTGCCCACCACCAAGTGCGGTTAAAAGATCGACCTCTAGTTCCACAATCAGATCGTTCTCCTGGCGTTTGAACCGATCATGTGGCTTTTCATCAATGACAATGACAACGTCTCCTGATTGTGCACCGGGCGCTTGGTCGCTCTCGCCGTTGAACTGTATGGTCTGTCCACCCTTCATACCCTTGTCGATATGCACCTCTAGCAGCTTCTTCTCCGGTAGAACCTTCTTGCCCTTGCAACTGGTACACCGATCCTTCATGTTTATGACTTCACCAGTTCCCGAACAATCATCACATGTCGACTGTATTTGTTGAATCATGGGACCCATCTGCCGCAGCGTGACCTTGATACCCCGGCCGCTACACGTATGGCATTGCCGCACAGCACCATCCTTACCACCCTTCCCATTACACCGTGAACATAATGCGTTGCGCGTTAGAGCAAGCTTCGTGGTCTTGCCTTTGTAAAGGTCTTCCAATGTGACATTGACACGGTGAACCAGATCTTTGGTTTTCCGAGCGCCAGAAGGCCGGCCTCCTGCCCCTCCTCCAAAGAAGCCTCCACCACCAAAGAGCTGGCTGAAGAGATCCTGTGATTATAAATCAGCGCGTGTGGCGCTACATAAGCGAACTGCTTACCTGCGGATCCATGCCGCCCATGCCCCCCTGTTCTGAGAGGCCGGCCTCTCCTCGCGAGTCGTATATGCTACGTTTCTCTGGGTCGCTTAGTATTTCATACCTGTTCATATAACATGGTTAAATATAAAATTTTACACAAGGCTGCGGGAAAATGTGTGCTTACGCATGCGTAACCTCCTTGAACAATTCTGGATCACCACCCTTGTCAGGATGTAATCGGAGTGCCCTGAGGCAGAACATGAGCATGATGGAAAGGCGGGCAGAATGAATAGTTAAAGTACTTTTTCCTGTAGGCCTTTTTGAGATCAGCCTCAGAAGCATCGACGGGCACTTCAAGCAAGTCGTAAAATTTCCTAGGAGATCATATTAGCCAGATATACATCAGACTATGCAGAAAAACACACCTCTCTCGAACCATGGCGTTCAATCTAGTGCTACAAGAGTAAGTGGTAAATAGAGAGAGAAGAGTATGACAGTTCTAGGTATAGCAAATGGCAATATCAATACTGGCAGGGAAAGGCGTAGAATGTCCCAGAAACTACTCGATGCTTTGTGACCTGTCATCGTCACATCCAGTGCACATTTCCGCGCAAATTCGGGCAGGTGCAATTGCGCCATAATCTGAGGTCAAACGGTCGAAGTTCGCACAGGTTGTTAAGTTCCCACGCCCGGAGATCTAGCTGGACGAGAAAAGAGCGCATTCGTTTGTACGCGTCGGTACGATGGAACTGGAAAGTATCTTTCGACACAACCATGGCAGCGAAATATATGTCGTACGAGCGTTTTACAACGGAAATGATGCAAGTCTTGTGGCCATAGGAGGAGAACATTCCGTGCAGGTGCTACATCTAGTAAGTGTGCATTTAATATCTGGTCTTTTGTGCAAAATAACTCATTCTTGCCTTAAGACTGCATCATCCCTGCAGACCATAGCGTGGTTCTACATCGGTTCTCGCATCACCGCAATAGCTTGGTCGCCCAAGACCGTATCTCCCAACTCCAGTGACGAATGGACGCTCGAGTTCGTGCTCTCTGGCCTCATTGGCGTATTGACACATGCCTAGCTTACTTCCAGGCTCACCGCAGCCAGCGCAGATTTCGGCCTCCACGCGCTCACAAAGTCCTTTACCTCCGATGAGACCGCCTTCCCTTTCGGCGGCGGACTGAGTGGCCATCACGGTACAGTCAACGACATGTGCTTCTGCGGCGGTCGAGAACAGGATAGTGCTCGCTATGTAGCCACCGTCTCTGGTATGCACGCACCTGGGACTGGAGAATCTTCATGGACGAGAACGCTGACCCTTTCTCCTTCGCTTACAGACGATAAGATGTTGATGGTATGGGATCTACATCCAACCCTCAACATCTCCTCCAGCTCATCTTCTCCTGACGTCTCGTCCGCATGGTCCCAACCTCCTCGGCCTCAACCTACCGCATACGTGATCTCTTTCCCTCATCCCCTGATGACCGTCAGCTCTCACCCATCCACCAGCAAAGAATTCCTCGTCTCAGATTGCCGCGGGTCCATATTCTTAATCGACTGGCGATCCGACCCTGAGCAACGGAGACAGGGAAGCTGGAGACACCTAAGCTCCATCGAGCTAATCGAGCCTCGCAGCCTATCCAACTCTGCAACCGGCCTCTCCTCACAATGGACAGGCTGTTCCTCTTGGCGAAGGGACGACGCCGATATGTACGTTCCGGCAACTCATCCCTTTCCCTCTCCTTTTTTTAACCCTCTTGACAATACGTACCCGTAGATTTGGAGCCACCTACGGGTCAAATATGTCGATCTGGAATTTACCTAGCATTCAGGGCGGACGGCCTTCACTGTCAGGTACTAGCTTTCGAGAAGAAATTCACCGGTTTCGGCAAGTTCCTTTTTATCGGCCATCTATGTTTTGGCTTTATGGAATTGATGTTTTTCCCCCGGGGTATACTTAGGTGGTGCCCAACTAATCCGTCTTGCTTCGCTGTTGCTGCCCGATCATCGGGGAAAGGCGCTGTTATTTTTGTTCACAACTCAAATTACGTCCATGCTCATCCCCTCGTTATCAACGTCGCATCTCGCCCCAACACTGTTCGAGATTTCGACTTCTTAACTTTTCCTGGACAGGTTCTTCTATCAGTTGCTATGGGTGCAGAACTTCTCGTCTATCCAGTTCAAACAGAATAAGGCCATATATTCTTTACCTATGATATACAACTTGACTATAAAATTTTTGTATCCGATAAGTACAAGAAAGGCGAATCGATTAAAAACGATAACAGTATGACTTCATATACTTGATTCTATCGGCATTCCTCAGACTACCTGCAAACATGACATGACTTGACAACATAACAAACAAATGGACAGCAAACGAGAAAAAGAAAATCAACAGAGACAGTATCAGGGTATTACTGGCCATACACAGCTTGATTGAGATGATAGGAAGGAGGACCTGGATTTCCATGGCCGTGAGGAGGAACACGAAAGCCGTCATGGAACGAAACAGGCTGATCACCGTTTGCACCAAAACCGAGTTCCATGAACATGTTACGCCAGTAATTAGCATCGTGCTCAGTAGCATGAGTAACGACGCCGTAAGGAGCTGTATACGCCAACGGCTGGTAATGATCTGGGCCAGTCCTCGGGGGCGTTTCCATATAATCTCTGTTGGCATCGGGAGGTGCAGACTGGTGAATAGGAACATCGGAAGGGGCAGCGTACGGGTATGGATTATCATAGGTTTGAACCTGAGGCTGGTGATAAATCTCAGGTGGAGAGGACGACTGGCTTGAGGAAGTTTGATTTTCTAAGAGCAGATTAAGTAAATGGTACAGATACGTATGAAGATAGAATTTACCATGGACACGTGGGTCAAGGAACCTGCGCATACTCCCTCTTTCCTCCTGTCGTGCACCGATCGTATCGTTGAAAACGAGACTACGAAGGAAACGTGCATGATAGGCTGCGGAAGTTGAAGTTGGGGACAGCATAGAAGCCTCGTGGTATGCATCTGCAGTACTAGTGATAGAGTTATGAATTTCTTGGGCAGCTCCTTCCTGTAATTCGGTGTGTAACTCGGTATGAGTGTTGGAGCTACGAAGTAACTATACCAGGCGTTATAGATTGAAATAAGGTAGGAAGGCATAACTTACCTTGAGCAAGAAAATTGCCGAATATGCTGTCATAACTGTGGTAGAGTCTTGTCCATAACGCTATATCAGTTGGTGTACTGTCAGCAAAGTGGAGTTCTAGGAACTCGGTGAACGTACCAAAACACCTAATGCTTTGAATTCCTTCGAAGCTATGCGAAGAACATCAAGCGCAGAGTTGAAGCATGCCGACAAGGCACGCAGCTGAGCGGCAGTTCGATTGTTCTGCCATAATCTTGAGTACAAGAAAATAGGACAAAATGCCTTCGCTGGACTTACAGGAGCCAGTGAAACTTGGACACCAAAACTATTCAAAAACAACCGAACATAATGACGGAAAAAGTGGAGGAAGGAGAAGTGGAATGATTCTCCACCAGCTGTCCCAGAGTGAGTTAATACCTCGATATGTATGTTGAGTATATACCTCGTTGCATCTCATTCTCCCATGTGATCATCCACTGAGCCAGCTTGCCATTACAGTTTTTTAGAACTATATCAACATTGACGTCGGTGCTGGAGCCGTCGGAAAGATTGCGGTTCGTATAGACCATGTCCGTAGTTTCGGTCTGAATAAAAATAAGAATGAGATATATAGCTTAATACATGAATAAATTGTACACACAGCAATACGACGGAGCTGCACAAAGGCAGAGACCACGACATCTTCACAACGTATGGGTGCACCACCTTCCTCATGCCATGCAGCTGAATGTCTGATGAAATCATCCTAGAAAGAGGACAAGTCAGATGGTTTGGATTGACAACACGCTAGGCTCACCTCTGGCAGCATCCAGTGCCGACCTGTTTGCATGCTCAAGCTCCTATCGTGCACAAAAAGGACGAGATAGGTTCTTTCGCGGTTTCGGCGTTCTCGCCTCTGAAACTCAGTTTCATGCGTAGGGGGTTTCGCATGGAAACGATTGAGCCCCAGCTCAACTGCCATGCGACATGCCTGTGGAACGATTGATCTACCGGTGGGAGGAAATGGCACTATTTCTACTTACATATCCGATATACGTCCATGTTCTCTATCAATGACGTGAGCATGGAGGATTTAAAGAGAAAAAGGCTCGACATACGTTATCATCATGTTCTCTCCAGTATGTAAGGCAGGCAAAGGCTTGGACCACTTCGACACGTTTCCAAGCGTCGGCAAAGGCTCGCACGGCCATGTCATGAGCAAGTTTTAGACATTCTTTATAGAGGCTTGGCTCAAAGAACTTGCACCCTGCCATGATAAGAGTGGTGAACAAAAACGGGCACTTGGAACGGACGTAGGCAACTGAATGTAAAGCAGGGTCGAACAAGTTGATGAACGGGTTCAAGCGCAAAAATATGGCATCAAAAAGTACTTTCGCTTTTGTTTCGTCGATAAGACCAGCAGAAATAGGATCTTGGAGACCACTGGGCAAAGGTGCAGGAGTCAGAGACTGCGAGTTCGCCAAACCGTTCCTAGAGGTTTGCGACAGTAGAGTAGAAGGAGACTCATGCTCGGGGTTCAGAATAGTCCTGAAGAAAGAGTTCCTCTGATTTTCTTTCCTTATCAGTTTGGCAGGGAACATGCTCTCATCGCCACGTTCGGCGTCCTCATCGACGTCGATATCAATGCTGCGTGAGCCACTGCTCGAGGCAGCGTAGCCATCTGTAAAGGAAACAGAGCTGAGCGAATACCACATCGGAGATTTAAATGTGTAGAGTACCAGAGGGCCCGTACTCGCCAGGGCGCATTGAAGGAAAGTGAGAAGACTCTGATGCGGGCGCATGTGTGTCCGCTGTGGTGTACGGTGAGGAGTCACCTGGATGAGACTTGAGTTTGGCGTTGCTTAACCCCTTTTCTAGGCGACGAAGCATCTTTGACGCCTCTGAAAGTCTGGAGATAAAAATGAGACATGGAACCTGATTTAAAGGAGCGAGATCCTACTTTGAACCTGGTTTGCGACCTCGACGATGTTTTTCGAAGACACACCTAGAGAAAGATGTAAGCGAGCAGTAGGGAAGAGGGGAGGAGTTACGTACTCGACGTTTGCGCGCTTACAGCGCTGACATTGTTTTTGACCGTCGTCAGCGCCCACGCACTTCATCTGTGGGACATGATAAGGCAGGGATAAGGGGAGATTGGGAAAAGAGAGACCTTTGCTGCACGACACACGGTGCAAGCTCGTGCACCTCTGACGACAGGCGGCTTGGAGCTGGAGCAAAGGAACATGAGGGCAAGGATAGGGCGATGCGGGCGGGACTTACGAAGACTTTGCCTGGTCAATGTGCTCTGGGGAGACCTGCATTGTAGGATAGGAAGAGGATTGAAAGGGCGACACGGGGATCAACGGTGACTCGGTTGATGTTTGACGACCGAGGAGGACCGGTGACTTTGTATTGTGGAGGGAAAGGGAAGGGAAGGAGGAGAGGCAGGGGGAGAAGACAGGGTTGGGACAGGAATGGATGTGGGACGGGGAAGAGTGGGGCTGGCGAGGAAGAAGGGCAGATGAGAGATGGAAGGAAAGGCAGGTCAGCAAGTGGGAGCTTGTAACAAATAAAGTAACTCTGGCGGCTAAAAGATTTAAGTTACCGAATTCGGCCATTATATAAGTCCCCACTCGCACAGCTCCATATCACCGCAACCACAACAAGCGCACGGACTCGACACCATCCCACCCACTCCCTCCCACCTATACCGCCCTATTCTGCCACCTCACGCCATCATGTTCAGCTTCCTCGAGCACCAGTACCACCTCCTACCCATCGTCTCCACACCCCACTCAGGGTCTGTTGGGTAACCGGAGACCGCCGGTTGGCTCGCCGGTCAATCCGATTGGCGAGTACGTTCTGCCGGAGCGGCAACTCATTCAACAGGCACCGGGGTCCATGATGATCATTTTGTGCCCTATCAATTTATGCTCATTCCTCACTCATCACTCCATTCAGACATCTTGGCCTTGTTTTACCCTACTGTAATAATGGAGATTCATTTCATCGAGTGTTTTATGCTTGCTTCAATGTCTCAGTGCCACAGTGGCTTAGCAATCTTTGAGCACAGGTCATCTAATTATCTAGACATGTGAGTAGTCTATGCTATAAAATCAATAGACAGACTGGTTGCTTTTGTACTACAAATATACATTTTACTGCAATTATGCATATTTTTGAAAGAAACCAAAACTCATGCTGTGGGGAAACTTGCCATCACAATATTCTGCATCATTAATCAATGCCACTTATGGTTGTGAAACAACTAAAACTTAATACAAAGTAAGTGCTATCCTACACAATTAATCTCCCATTGTGGTTTAACAGTTTTTCAGAGTAAGGAAAGATAGAGATATTTACAGCCATTTGAAAAATGATAGACCTTTTCCACCAAGAATAACAAACAACTCCATTTGCCTAATAATTTATAGCACTAGAAATTCACCGAGAGCTGAAAACTGTTCTACTACTCTGGGAAAAGTGCGGTACTGCTACCTACACTCCTTGTTATATCCATGCCATAGGCTAGGAAACCTGAATCTCCAAACAGTCAGAAACTCCCAAATCTTCAGTCTTCCCATAATTATGCTCCTCATGCTTGGCATAGCCCTGAACCTTGCTTTTATGCGGTACTCCGGATACCCACTCCGATTCTCCTGCCCCAGACTTCCAATCTGCCATACATTTCCTCTGCATATTCTTATATTTCCTTATGAACTCTGTAGTTAGACCTTATAGTACACTCGCTATAATTGTTCCCATAGAACTCCATACCTATATTATGAGTTACTCCTTATGAACTCCACTCCCTCCAATTAGTATACTGTACAAGCTGTAACTCCTGTACTCCATTCATGCAGTTCAAATATCAATAAGTTTCTCACATTTTTTCACCCAAGTCCTTTTCTAAATTTCCAGTCCTTTGGAAAAGGACCTTTACTCCACTCTACTTTCATCCTCCACTCTTTCCTCATTCACTCTGTTAAGTTAGGGACTAAGATCCGCAGAAGGGCCTACTGCACAAGCTAAGCCAATTCCCAACCTCTGCTCCGCTCCCACAGTGCACCATCAGGAAAAAGCCTTTTGCTATATAGCAGAGGGGTTTGTATATATGTGCAAATAAAGACTATTCTAGCATCAGTAGCACTTACAGCACTATAAGAGCAACTATAGTACGATCAAAGTACCTATAGTACTTTAGGAGCAATTATGGTATGGTCATGGTAACTATAGTGTCATATGAGCAATAAGAGCAACAGGAGCAACAAGGGCAATAATAGTATTATAGAGGCAAAATTTGAAATGCTATAAAAGACCACCATAATTTCTCTTATAGCTCCTATATCTATGGTGTACCTGTAATATAGTTTAGACTACTTGAAAAGGTTGTTAATTCATATAGTTTGTGTTAGTAAGATAGTAGTTTGTATTATTAATAATTATAGCAAAGCTTTATCCAAGTATAAGTTGTGACAATGTGTAAAAAAAATGATAAGTCCATGGAAGGTCAATATATTACACATGTATAGAATATTTTGCAAGCCTTTATAATGTAGTGGATAGATGTGTGGTATATGGCTGTAGATTGATTGGTTAGCAAAGATGCGGACCGATGGGTTGAGAGTTCAAACCTTGTATGTGATTATTTTTTTGATCAGCCACAAACTATCTTATAGCTAATATAGTCAGCCATATGCTATAAGTGCTATAAGAGGCTATAGCCAACTATAAGAGTACTATAAGAGTACTATAAGAGCACATTTGTAAAGACCCTAGCTGTATGCCGGTGACCCGAGCAGCGTAGGACTTAAATCTTAACAACAAGTGTTCAGACAAGCAAGTATAAAAGAGTAAATCTACAACTGGGGTATATACATGGATATCGTGCTAGTTATATAGTAAAGAACATGAGGCTACGGGGAGGTATGACGTAGCGTATTGGTAATGAACATGTGTATGTAGTGAGGCTGATTGGTAATGTGTATTACTAATAGATCACGTGATACTTGATAAGATTAGATCAGGAGGAGATTAGATAAGGTGAAACAAGAGTCTCTATCTGTTGATTAGATAAGAAAGCTGGGTCAGATGGGTACGATCGTGACATTACCCCCTCCTTAGGACTTTCGTCCCAAAAGTGAGAGTCTAGTCTGCCCGTTTCCCAATTGTATAGCAATTTTCGAATTCGAGTTGGAATTGTAAAGTTTTCGAAGGGTTGATAGTTTAAAGTGAATTCTATCCTTCGAGGTGCACTAGGGTTTTTGTTATGAAACTGTTTTACGAGTTTCGATGAATTTTTTAGGTTTGATTCGGTTTCCCATGTGCGATCCTCTTTAGGAAAGTCTTTCCAATGCACTAAATATTCCAATTTCCCACGTTTCAATCGTGAGTCTAGAACTTCTTCTACCTCGTATTCTTTAATTCCGTCCACTATCACCGGTGGTGCGGTTTTTGGTTTTTTCTGCGTTTCAAATTCTGGTTCTCTGAATGGTGTTAGCAATTTCTCGTTAAAAACCGGATGTATATTCTTCCATCGTCCGGGAAGTTTCAGTTTATAGGCTCCTTCGCCTATTTTCTTTTCGATAGAGAAAGGTCCGTGTCTTTTGTCATCGAGTTTCTTCGCAGGTCTATCGGTAGTAATATGTTCTGCTTCAACATACACCTTGTCACCTTCTTTGTAATTGATAGCTTCTCTTTTCCCTTTATCGTACTGTTTTTTCATGTTTTCTGCTGCTTTTACCAGCGATTTTTCTGCTTCTTTCCTAGTCTCCTCCATCCTCTTCACAAACTCTTCCGCACTCTCCGTCTTCACCGTACTTCTAATTCCCTTCGCGACTTTCGGATGTTGTCCGGAGTTTAGGAAGAAGGGACTGTAACCAGTTGCGGAATGTGATTTGTTGTTGTATGAAAATTCCGCTAATGGTAGCCATTCTGCCCAATCCGTTTGTTTATGGTTTACGAATATTCTAAGATATTGTTCTATCTCTTGGTTAATTCGTTCCGTTTGTCCGTCTGTCTGTGGGTGATAAGCTGTCGAGGGATTTCCTTTTATCCCAAGGAGTTTGTAGAGATCTTTCATGAAATTGGAGACGTATTGCGGTCCCCTATCTGAGATGATCTTCTCTGGTATGCCATGGTTTCTAAAGACATTGTCTCTAAACAACCTGGCTACTCCTTCTGACGTTACTTTGTCATAAGTCGGCATGACTTTTATCATCTTCGTGAATCGGTCTACTACTACGAGAATCATGTTATAACCGAGAGATTCCGGCAATGGTCCGATTAGGTCTGTGGTGATGATTTCCCATGGTCTAGTTGGGATTTCATTTGGGTGTAACGGTGCCGCTTTCTTTTGATGGTTAATCTTAGTGCGTTGACACGTTTCACAGCCTTCTACGTATTTCCGGATATCTCTGTCCATGTACGGCCACCAATACCATCTAGTTACCAGTTCTTTGGTTTTATACTGTCCGGGGTGTCCTGCTACCGTGGAATCATGGTTTTCTCTAATGATATGCTCTCGTAATTTCCCGTCTTTGGGAATATAGATCCTTCCTTTGAAGATCAACATCTCATCCTCCATCCAAATTCCTTTCTCTCTATCTTCTCCTTTCTCTATCATCTTCCGCGCTACTTCATCTACGTTCATCATTCTTTTGCAAATCCACTTGTACAATTCCACTGCATCGGCTGATTGCTCTGCCATGCGCTGTCTTTCAGTGTGTGAAATCATCATGCGGAAATGTTCTGCTTTTAGAACGATGACGTCTTCATTGTCATTCACCCCCCTTTCATGGTCTGCTCGTCTCGAGAGAAGATCTGCTTTGATGTGTTTTGTTCCTGGAATGTGGTGGAGCGTAAAATGATAGTTGCTCAATTCCATAACCCATCTAGCTTGTCGTCTATTGAGCTTCTGAGGTTGTTTGTAATATAAGAGATTCTGGTGGTCTGTCCAGATCTCAAATACCTCTTTTGCATCAATAAGGTAGTGTCTCCACTCGTCTAACGCAGTCATTATGGCCAGGAGTTCTTTATCATAGATCTCGTAGTTACGCTCTGTGGGGTTTAGCGCTTTCGAGAGGTATGCAATAGGTTTCCATTTCCCATCTTGCATCTGTGATAGAACTGCTCCCATCGCGTAATCGCTGCTATCAGCTTCAATTTTAAATTGTCCGTCATCGGTAGGTAAGGCGAGTACGGGAGTTGATCCGACACGGGTTTTTAATCCGTTAAAGGCGTCGA